ACACAATGAGAAGTATACATTAAGCACTCACCAAACTCATCGCTTTCCAAAGATCCAACGCCTTGGCATTTGAAAATTGGTGATCCTTTAGGTAAATCTAAATCGAGAGGTGAAGGAAAACTCTTTTAAAAAAGTGTAGAGGATTAAGTTTATACTTTTTAATTTCTGAAGGAATAAAATGGGAGGTTGAAAAAAAATCAGCGGAAATAAACAAGAAACGATGCCTGATTTGCCCAGGAGTTTAATACCTGAATTCCTCTTCTGAAAGTTTCTACTCCGAGGAAGTTTTGCATCATTCTAATGAGGGCTGAACTCTGTAAAATCAAACATTTGTGAGAAATAATAGTGGTTATTAGCAAGCCACAGTCGTTAGATCTCTGACAATAGCGCACGGATATTTGAAAATAGTTCAGAATCGTACCTTGTGGTATGTTATTTTATCCACGATTTCGTTTATTTCTGCTGGATTGTGAACTTTAACAGACACAGGATGAGTATACATTGAGCTGTCTACATCAAGAGCTTCTCTCGACGTATCCAGTATGAATTGGTCTTCCTATAACACAAAAAATACCTACATTCTAATTTTTAAGCACAGAGATACGTTTCGTCACCACAAACTCTGTGGAAGTGATTTTTTGAAAACACCTCTGCTGAAAGTGTGGGTATCTATTTTAGCTTACTCTTCACTTTTGTGTTCATTAGATGAGTCAAAGAGGCCTGGAGAAGAAGAGGTACTAGAAAGCGGGGGATGATGGGATGGCAGCCGTTGAAAGATGCAGCAACATCTGTTGAAGATCAGGACCAATGCAGAACCTTTCTGAAGGGCCGCAGGTTACTTTCGAGAGACGAAAAGTATTGGTAAGTAGTGCTCTTACCCTTTTCCATTGATTGTTATAGTTATCAGTGGCAAGATATTCCATGTAGACAGCGAATCCTTCATTCAACCACAAGTCATTCCACCATTTCATTGTCACTAAGTTGCCAAACCACTGAAAGAAGTAAGAAAGAAGTATTTAAGTCATTCGTGTATGGAAGTGACTAGTCATTCTCCTTACTAGCTGCCATACATTACTTTCTGAATTGGTAGAGAGAAGCTGGAGTTATATCAATATAACACCTTTTAGCTAGTAATTTTGTCCCTTCTCATCACCGAAGATAAGAAGCGACAACCAATAAAAAACTTCAAAGAACTAAGACAAGTTACAGTCATTTGCAGAAGTAGTGGTGAAATATGACCAGTAGAAGGAAAACTGTTCACCAAGCGACCCCCCCCCTTTCCCTTCGCAGTGTTGCAAGCGAAACAGTATCTTGTACAAAACATTGAATTGGAGAAGGGGGGGGGGTTGCTATTGGTTTTTTACACTAAATTTTTTCTTGGCCATTCAATGAAATCGGGAAATACATTTTTGCTCAAAGTGTCTCAAAATTTTTTGCAACTGGTTGTAGCAGCACACTAAGTTCAAAATAGAGCCATGCACAAAAATATTGAGTGTGGCGTCAACACATCTGCTTGCGCAAGTATCTTGATGCGGTGAAAACATTGCCCGTACCTGGTGCGCAAGTTCATGATTCACAATCATGGTAACCAGTTTCTTATCAGCCACGCTTCCGGTGCTCGGATCAAACAGTACAGCAGATTCACGAAATGTAACTAGTCCCCAGTTTTCCATAGCACCACCCATATCTGGAATTGCTATGAGATCTGTAAAACAATGATTTGAACGATTTCATAAATAATAATTTACTATATTAGGTAGGAATTACTTGTCAAACGCTGTTGTGAAATTCTGACTCACTTTAGACCTCATAGTGAATTAGGTGTGGTCTACTTTGCGTCCTCCCTCAATCATTTGGGTGAGTGGTGGAGGGAGGGAGGGGTCGGTATATTTTGGTCGTGTTTCGATGAAATTTACCTGATCCCCCCATAATGTTTTGTAGAATTCCTATGATCCTCACCTTGTTGGCATTTAACTGATGGTCAATTTTCTTAAGTTCCCTCTATATACTATTTTTGCAACGACTGATCCCTCAGCTTTCTTCCTGAAAACCTTGTAACTCCCCCCAAAATTCTCCCCACCCCCCTGCTATAAATAGTGAATGTTCCTTAGCAATAGCTTATGAGCAGTCAGCCAGTCAGCCAAGTGAGGAAGGACCAATTGTAATACTTCTCAGTCTTTAACCTACCTAACTTAGGAAGTGGATACGGAACCTTGAAGAAATCTTCGTAATATTCCAACGTGCGCTTGGCAACATCGAGAGCAAAGTCCACACTGTGTATAGCATCAGGCTTAGACCACACCCTTATCTAGAAAATATCACAAGCATCAAATTTAAACCTTGTGTATCACCAACGAGTTCTCTGATTTAGCATTCGGAGTTAATGAGGATTAAATGCTTGCAGGCAACTTAGAATTTTACTTATCCCCCGCTTTTTTTTGTTAAGTCACCAAGCTTTTCACGAGATTTGAGCTCTTTCACAGTACGTGATTTACTTAGATGTCGATTAGATGTTTCTCCTGTTGTTTCAAAAGAAAGGGTTTCGATGTCCTTCTTCATTCTAAAATGTGTTCCAATATTCATGAGATTAATTCAGAAAAAAAGATGTCTCGAGACTGTTCAATTTTAACACAGGCTAATTGTGGTGGTAATTAAAGGATATAGCGATTGTTAGAAGCTGTATTCAGGAATTTTTCAGGATAATCGTAATTTCCACTGCTTAATTGAAGTGATTTGTATTCTTGAATGCATTATTTTGACTATATCTAAACCTCATCCGCCGAATAATATAAGATGGCAGTTTTACAATCGAGATTGATAGCTGAAATATTCTGGTGCAAAAAAGTGGACGGAGTATTCACAATTAAGAAAAGAAGTTCATAGGATATCCTTGACAATCTTTCCTCTAACGATACTAAGGGTGCTTTCTAAGTCTTGCCAAATTAAACGAACTATCTATACCTGAGGTTTGGTAATGTTTTGTACAATCGTCTTTGTTAATGGACATTCAGAGCTTCATTACATCTTGCGGTTAGTCCGCCAGCAAAGAAGCTTGAAAAGTCACTGGTTCCACTCAATTACGTCAGTTGTCAGAACTGTCCCTTTCCATTTATGGACGTAACGGTCCAATCGGCCTCTTCTGACGAATGGAAAGCCCTCGTAATTAGTTAAGTTGTGACCTGGAAGTCTTACTTGTGGAGCCTTACACCGTGAAATTTAACTCCAGGTCAATTATCCTACCTTTCTGTCACTCTTAGTTTTTGACTCTCTATACTCAAAGTCACACACGATAAACGCCACCAGATACGTTGGCATAGGAACGCTTGCACTGAAACGGCTCTCCACAAGACCATCATGTCTTCTGTCACTCGACTCTAGAGGCATGTTGGACAAAGCTTTGTGATTATCGTCATGTGCTACAGTGATGTGGAAAACCGCTTTAAATGCGGGCTCGTCGAAACATGGAAATGCCGAGCGAGCGTTTGTAGCCTCGAACTGAGTTGTGGCTAGGTATCTGCAATTTGAAATCAAAGATACATTCAGGGATTGACTAGAACAGATTAAAAATCATGAAGCATAGTTGATTGTCCCGTGGCAACGCACTGAATTCAGGTTTGAATTTATGTATCTCTGGTCGCTGTTTGACCTCATAAACGCTTGATATCCCAATTTGCCCAATTCTCGCTACTGTCTTCATCGAATTTTTCATGAAAATCTTTCTTAGAATTTGGTTTTGAATCAAACAAAACCCTCCCGATAATTTTTCCTCATTCTTATCACATGTCTGCTTAAAAATGTATCAATATTGTAAGGAGAAAATATTTATTGGTCACTAACCTGACTTGTCCGCTTTTCGTCTTGTAGCTACTTCGATAAAATCCCTCCATGTTTTTAGATAGAACTCCACTGAATTCCATATTAAGTGAATATCTTTCTTTTTCTTTGAGCTCCTCATTTGTGGCAATCAAATATTGTTGATTTTCCTTGTGCTGTATTCGTCTTACAATCGTTAAACGTTTTTGTTTTGAATCTGTGAGTTGTATTTCTCCAACGCTGAGATCGCGCATGTGTAATATTAAGTTCTTCGTTGGTTGAAAGCATCGAAGTAAGATGTTAACTGTGCCTGTAAACTTGAACGTTGTTAAATTTGGATGGATATAAATGCGGTAGGATAGTGGAAGAACTTGTTTTGGTAGGCGAATGTTGTTATGCGGGAAAGGCATTCCCTTGTCAAGAGTTGATTGTCTAACGGACGGTTCTTGGTTTCGCTTGAATTTAAACACCAAACTAAAGTCTTCGCTATATCCATTGATGAAAGTGTAAACTGTCGAAACAGCAATGATCAAAGCCACGCTAAACGCCAAAGCGAGGGGACAGAGTCGGGAGACCGCCATGAAACCACAACGGTCAATAACAGTGTTTGTACCCAGATTTTTTAAATAATTGTTTTCGATTTTGCGGTCAATGGTTCGTCGGGCAAATCTATTAGCTTGCAACAGGTGTCAATGACAGGTCGTTTTATAGAAGACTGAGAAGTTAGAGTAGCTTAATACAATTTGATAATTCAATGTCGCCTTTCTAACTCTGAAACGGAACAAATTAAATTTCTTTGCCGTAACTCAAGGCAGGTCAACTCCTTTAAAAGTAGGGATCAATGTCAGTACCTGAGCAACTGCCCACCTTCCCCTCCCCGAACCCAACAACAGTTAAGGTTAATGTTAGGTTCGGGGAGGGGTAGTTGGGTAGTTGGGCAGTTGCCCAGATACTGATATTGATCCAAAAAAAGAAACTCTCGAGGTATAAAAAAGTAATACTATAAAAAATATCAAATAAACATCAAAGGATGATTTGTGGTTATCTTTCTTTACATGAAAAAATCATGAGATTTCTTTTAAAATTGGATTTCGAATGTATTTGTACCAGTAAATCTGTTGTCATGACACCAAAACAATTTTGTTAACTGATTTAGCTACTCCTTCGAAAGGGTCAGTTTTATCCTAAATACGAAATTAAAATTTTGGCGCCTGTAGCTGTAGCTGATAACCATCGGTTCAAGTCGGAGCAAAGTTTCAGGAGACAAATTTCTCTCTTGCTAGATGAGTTTGAACGTGCGCAGTGTTTCCCAGATTTTCAAACGGATTCCTTTTGCTGGTCCCAGAGTTATTCGCGGGCATCTGTGAAGTCGAGCACGAACCGGAAATGAGAAGTGCGCTGGCCACCTGTGTCAACCTGCTGCTTTCTTGAATGAACTAAATTCATCTCTTTAAGGAGTTTTTTATTTCACTCACTGTTTTTCCTGCATCATCGAACAAGAAAAAAAACTTTACAGAGGATTTTAAACGCTTCATTACCATAGGTTAACGTGAAAACCTAATATTTTTACACATCATTTGATCTTGTTGCGCGCGCGCTTTTTAGCCCGTCTTCCTATTGGTGGATTCTGTGTTTACATCACTATTGCTGCTTGGGGATCGTTGTAAATATCTCAAATTAGACACATAAAATAATCGCATGATCTTATTGGTATAGAAAACCATAGGCAGATCTGGCAAAACCGTGAACGAGCGTGGGAAGGTAAAAAAAAGAAAAGCAAAAGTTGTGATTTTTACTGATGATGCGCGAACGAGCGGGATATAGAGCCGCTCCGGAAGAAGATGGCAGCGAATCTTTGTCTCCAAATTCGCGATCACGCGTTAAGTATCAAGGAAATCGATTCTGTAATGGGAAACTGTGCGCGATCTTTCTAACTTTATCCATTGCTCTTGGTGCAGTTGTCTTGTTCATTTTCTCTGCATTCGTCCATGCATCAGATAGCGAAATTGAATTTTATCGTCGAGCCGTGAACTATGTCACAGGAGATCGATTTGCCCGATCAACAGAGACCGAGAAAGATTTCCCACACAAAAACATCCTATTGCCGAAGGATGTAAAACCAGAAAGATATCAAGTGTACCTTCATCCAAACTTATCAAGCTTCGATTTTCACGGAGGGGTGAAAATCGATGTGGTATGCGAGAAACCGACAAGAAATATTCTACTACATGTCAAACACCTAAAGATCACAAGCTATGGTGTTCAGGATTCTAGTCGCAACCACCTTCCTGTGTTACGAGTGGCAGAAAGCAAGAAGCTAGAGCAATATCTGGTTGAGATGAAAGATGAGCTGAAGGAAGGCGAAAAATACACTGTGAACCTTCAATTTAATGGTCATTTGTCGAACACAATGACAGGATTTTACAAAAGTTCGTACAAGACCAAGAGCGGAGAAGTCAGGTAATATTTCTATTCTTAACCCTTTCACTCCCAGTGGTGATTAACTTGTAACGTCTCCCAATAATATCCATAGGTTATCCAGCAAAAAGGTATTGAGAATTTTCAAACTTATCAGGTGGAAGTTGTCATCTTGCTCTGACACCAACTTCTCGTAATAATTTACAAGGAAATGTGTAAATGCGAAATGGGAGAATTTGAAATCAGATTTTGGGAGTTAAAGGCTTAATTCATTATAATCGTGAATTAGATGAAGGTGAATTGATCGTCCTAACTTAACCCTCCGTCGGAGCAAAAATTTTGTTGAAGCCTTGACAGGGGCTTAAGCTTGAACGTCAGATTTTCGAGATTCCCGGTGTCATTTTACCTTGAGTAATTTCACGTTGATACGCAACTAACATGTACCCGTAATCAAAACACAACAGTTTCGCTAGAAATTATTTGCGTAATTATCTTATTCATAAATGCCTTTCACATTGATCTCCTGACGCAGACTTTTCTTTAATTGTCAACATCAAATTAGGCGAGAAGCATATAACCAAGCAGGTTATAAGCTTGTGGTAAAGCAATTAGATTGTTAAAAAAATAAAGCTAACAACAATTGGCGATTAATAGCAGGGCAAGATTCTTCATGGACGTATTTTTGTCATACATGAATATGACAGTTTAGTGACGGAGGTTTCATCTCGTTGGACTAAGTAGCTCTTTTGACTTGTTTCTGTCTATGGGGTGGGATGGGATCGGTTCAAGAACTACGATGTAGAAGCAATTTTTTTTCTTGTAGATCACTTTGTTGACAACCACCTCAACTATTAATTGTTCATTCATTTTTTCAAGGTACATGGCAACGACCCAATTTGAAGCCACGGACGCCCGAGCCGCCTTTCCCTGTTTTGACGAGCCCGAGTTTAAATCACAATTCATCGTCACCTTGGTGCACGAGAAGGGATACTCAGCCCTTTCCAATATGCCTGTGGAAAAGGTCATCACACGAGGCGACGGCTTCATGGAGAGCCACTTTAAGGAGAGTGTCAAGATGAGTACTTATTTACTGGCCTTCATCGTGTGTGATTTTGCTTACAAGGAAACGCACTCTAAAGCTGGGAAGAAGGTTGGTGTCATTGAACCCATAAAATGTTTGCATTTCTCAGTTGTCCTTTGCTTGCTTTTGCTTACCGTCAGCGCTTTCAAAAATCCTCACATAGTTTATTCCCTGTGGGGGTCCCAAGACGGGGGACCCGTTAGTGAGAAGGGGACTAAGAGCGTGGGGGTCTTATAAGACAGGAAGGACTTATTAGAAAGGGGGTCTTCTGAGACAGAAGGGTCGTATTACAGCGGGGGCCATATTAGATAGAAGGGGCTTGTTAAAGAGAGGGTCTGAATCGATAGATGAGTTTGTTCTAGATTTCTGACTAGCTTAAATTGGAAAAGCAGATCTCTTCTGATGCCTGTTATTGCGCCCAAAATACACCACAAATCTTCGTGTACTCCTTCCCATAAAATCAGGTGGCAATTTAAAACAACTTTACTCGGCCGCAGAAAATTTTCTGTTCCTTTTCCCTCCTCTCGTCACCTCTATAAGTGTGCGTCACGGACGCTTCGTGGCCCATTTAAAAGGACAACTACTGAGTAGAAGGTTCAAACAACTTTGGTCTTCTAATTCTTAGTTTCCTTGTTCTTTTTAAATGCATTACTGTTTAGTACAAGTATTTAATGTTTTCTTTCAGATTCGAGTTTGGTCCAGAAAGGATGCCATCGAGAGCACGAGATTGGCCGTCAGTGTGGCAGAGAACGTTCTGAATTATTATGAGGAGTTCTTCAATATACCGTACCCTCTGCCTAAGATGGGTAGGTTGAAGATATTAAAGGAGATATTATGTGCGATTTATTTATCCCTTGGGGAACAAAAGAAAAACTGAATCCCACGGGAAGATATGAACCTTAGACACCCGTTCCAGCTCTCCAGTGAGCTCTCTACCAAGAGAAATAGTTTGTTCCTTAAGAAGTAAACAAATGTTATATGTTTTGAATTTGTTGGCGTCAAACTTTCAAACTAATCCTTTACCTAATCATTACTTCTTTCACTTCGCAGACCTGGTCGCTGTGCCTGATTTCGCGGCTGGAGCGATGGAAAACTGGGGACTACTCACTTTCCGCGAAACTTACCTGCTGAGTGACCCGGCCTCTGCCAGCGCCGCTGACAAACAGGATGTAGCAGTAGTGGTGTCTCACGAACTTGCGCACCAGTGGTTTGGTAACCTGGTCACTATGAAGTGGTGGAATGACTTGTGGCTCAACGAAGGCTTCGCTAACTATGTGGAATACATCGGAACGGATCACTTCCGAAAGGATTGGAAAGTGGTAAGCTTGGATCCGTAAAAGTGCTCTCACTGTGAGTTTAGTAATGATATAGAAAAATAATTTCGGGGAACGCTGCAGTTGGATTTCTTACGTAGCCTAAAGGAATGCACAGGCGGATTTATCTGTGAATAGATCCTGTAGCTTAAGTAATTGTCGGAACACTTTCGCTGAACCTTTAATATCAGAGAACGCTCCGACGGAATAGCAACAGCGCAGCACGAGGGATGTTGGGATTGTAAGATTCTAAGGCACTGTGATTTGGTCTGAGGGTGTCATACGTGATTTCACGGCACAGTTTTGATGAATCAGGGTTTATTTGTGTAATCGCAACATCGAGAGGCATCTGTTTGCCATAACCAGTGTTGGGACCGTGAGATTCTAAGGCTCTGCGACTTTAAGTTCAAGCATCAAAAGTGACTCTGCCTGATAATTTCAGTCAATGCGGTTCCATATGTAATTGCTGCACTGCGGGGTAACCGTCTGCTATTTCCATTAACTGTGCAACTGTGCAGTGTGAAATACACCACGGTTTTTTTAGACGCAGTTGCCTGATTGTCAGTACTCTGGACTCATATCTGTAACTCCATGAAACAGAATTCAGGAAAAGCACGAGAAGCCTTTTGAGTCAGTCCGGCATACATACTCGTTTCTTTTTTTCGTGGTTGTTGAAAAATATCAAATAATCAGAGAAGCATATACCTCAAGCTGCATACCTTCCGATCATGTCGTGATGAGCTTTTATTTTTGAACAATGCCTTTGCACGCTTTGATTAAATTTGTTTGTCTGGCTCTTTCTTCATTCATTTTGCAGCTGGAGCAGTTTGTTGCACACACACTACAGACAGCACTGTCCGCTGACAGTATGGCCAACACACACC